TTTTTTTCCACAGTTTTGCATAAAGATCCAAGGCAGGTGTATCTTTGTCTTCTTGAAATTGGTCGAATCGTGTCAAGGTATATATTCTACAATATTTCAGAATTTCAATGTCGTAAACATTTGTTAAGCTACTGAATATTAGCTAAGAACACTATTGTCTATAAATAAAAGAAAATAATTCTTGATTGAAATAAAGTAACCTATTTTCCTATTTCCTCCTTCTTTTTGTTTCTTCATTAACTTTGTTCTATTTGCATGAGCATATGTCAACATCTGCTTTCTCAATATAACTTGCCTTCATTTAATATTAAACTGTGAAAGTGGTTACTTAATTTTTTTAGTTTAAGAATAGGGCAAGAGCATGTAGTCTTAAAGCGGTTCAAGGCAAAGCAAGTCCTCTGAGCGCAGAGAGGATCTGATTAGAAGGCCGAGGCTTGGTGTCTCCCATCCATACCCGTACCCATCTTTATTCATCAGCTGATTTTACAGCTGCCTTTTAGGATCCCAGGTAGAATATTGGAAGTATCCAGTAACCCAAATATATGCTATGATGTGAAGATTATAATCAATTTTTGGCAATCTATGAGACATTAAAAAGCATTTCCTAATGTCCCAGTGAAACAATTGGTAGAAGAGAATCATACAGACTTTGCTTTGAAAATAAAATATAATCTATCTTGATATGCAGGGAAATGCTTGGGTCATCTTTGCCTGAATGATCAGATCTCCTGGTTGGTTTTCAGATACGGGGTTGAGCCACCAGTATTAGTAAAGCTTGAGAAAGAAATTGAGTTAGAAGAGACCTTGCTTAATACTTCCGGGCCTGAAGATTCTATCAGCATTCCAAAATCGTGCTGTCAGCACGAAGAACTACATGAAGCTGTAAGTATTGCCACATTTTTCTTTCACCCATGATGTCTTGAAGTCTCATAGTTTTATTGCTACCGGTGATGCTAGGTTTAAAAGAAAGTGTTTCTTTCTTTTTTCAAGCCATTGGTATATTGGTATATTCAGATATTGATATATTCAGAATATACACCAGTATCATTCTCCACTCTCTGATGAGCTCGGGGCACTATCTTTTAAAGGTGATTTCTG